ACTAAACGGTCTGAGGGGGCGCGGAAATATGGTATTGGCTTCGAATTCCAGAACACTGGGTTCAGTACCACGGGTGGAGAAGCAGTCGTTGCCTACTCCGCGAATTCCCTTGAGCAAGGAATTTATTCTCGTTGCTTCAGACTTTGGTTGCTCAGTCTGTAGACCGTCAGACCCAGAGCAGCAGAGTGACGAGTTCCAGCCCTGATTGGGTTACCCTCTTTTCTTCCTCCAATGGTTGATAACTGAGTACCACTCTCTGCAAAAAAAATAGAAGAAACAACACATTATGTTTTCCCTAAGGTTGCTGCCGACTTCACGCTTAAACTGGGGTATTGCTTGCTGACGGTACGGATACAGGGCTCATCGCTTCACCATTAACTTCATGGAACGTATAGCACGAGAAATAAAAATAGTTCCATGATGAAAATGCAAGAAAGACCGACATTCCAAAGGTTAATAATATTCCTTTTCCCTGCATTGTTCAAGTTGATTAACAACTATTTTAAAGATTCAGGATTTGCCGTCTTATGGCCTAGAATCTTTTATCGCATTGGCAGAATTAACCCTTAAGCAATCGCGTGAGAAAAAGTAGCATAACTACACGCGTTGAGTTGCATTGATACATTACTTTACCTCTAAGCATACAAATGTTTTTCTTCTTACAAACATTTCAGCATAATACAGGAACATTAAAAACCACGGATGTTTTATTAAAACATTTATTAAACACGTCGATATTTTTTAATGCAAGTCAGGAATAAAATGAAACAGTTGAAGGTGCACTTTATATATTTTCCACAAAACACCAATAGGTATTCTTGCAGTGAATTTGAATAATAAGCCATTTCTTAAATATATCATCACAATACAGAGGAACAATAAAAAAGCACTGATTTATAAAAAACATTTAAGGCCTCCACATTCCCGTCGGGTCGCAATTTGGTATTTTGATAGTCTACATGTACTTTGACGACTTCAGCAGCACTGAAAGGAAGAAAGAAGCGAATTGAAAGATCCCATAGGACCATCGTTCCTCTACTAATTATTTATACGTTAAACTCAATCAATAAAAATATCACTCGAGTCATATAGATCTTACGCGATTACCTAAAGATTAACAAACACTAAAATCCGTTTATTTCAATCTGTCAATGATAAAAATATTTGCAAAATCCCCTGGGCTTGGCCAAGGGTCAACGTTGGCCCTAGAATTGCAATACATTCAAACATAATCGAAAGCGACGCAAATGCATCAGCAAGCAACCATCAGGCGAATTCTCAAGCAAATGCCGAAAAGCGATTATTAGCAAAGCATTTCATATACCTGGCATCACTGGCGGAGAAAAGCAGGGTCCCATGTTTGACAATTTTGTTTTCACAAGCGTATGACATTCAAAACATGAATTTTTAGCTCTACGTCACACCCTCGGTTCCGATTACTTAAGGAGACCACGTAAGAGAGCCAGAGCTTCATAGTATTCTAGTACTCAACTGTGCTCTCATAAATTTATTAATGTGAAAATGTCATACTTGTCACCAACGTGTTTTACGAGTCGATCCTTTTTCATGTTGTTGCAAACAACTAAAAGCATTTGTTATGTCAATTCGAACATAACCGGATTTGTTTTAGATAATTGGTTTTTCTCATATGAGATTTTTTACCTTTGTCTTGGCTGTTCTTAAGATTGCCATGCAAAAGGAAGTAAATAGAATGGTGAAAAAGTTTTCTGCCAAATTCAAGAGATAATAAAGCTCTCGATTCAGAAGCCCTTGTATATTTTTTTGGGAACTAATACAAGATGTGTCACGAACATACACTTGTTTAAATCAAAGGTCAAAGATTGGCAAGTTTTATTATGGAAATTAGCTGGGCAAGAGATT